ATAAATTTTATTTATTTTTAAAATAAAAATATTCTCTTTTACAATTTTCAAAAAATAAATTTACAATTTTTAAAAAATATACCTTATAATTTTCAATAAAAAATAATGCACTATACTTCCTATAAAAAGGAAAAAATTATTGAGATATTTTTATTTAGTCTTCCTTTAGCAGAAACATTAACTAAAAAGTTAAAAAATTTGAAAATAGGAATATTACCTATTCAATTCCTTTACAATTTCCAAAATATCGGTCACACACTCCAAATTTTTTTTACCAATTTCAAAATTTTTGAAAATAGGAAATTGTTGTGCTTTATAATTTCCAAAAAAATCTTTTACAGTCTCCAAAAAGTAAAAATGTTGCCGTAGGTTTTTCCTATAAATAGGAATACTCCACGCATCGTTCTAAAAAACTAGGTAGATTTGAATTTCGTGCACTGTTTATTAGGTTTGTGCTAGGTATATCCAATTGTAATTTGGCTAGTATTAGTATTTTTTTTAGTTCAACTATTTTAGACATTATAGTCCAATTTATTTTTCAATTATTTTAGACATTATAGTCCAATTTCTTTTTTAGTTTTGGTTACATTCATTTGCTGGAGTTTCAAAAAGCTGGAGTTGTAATACATCTCATTTAGTTGTAAATACAACTCCAGCTTAAAGGTATTATTGTGGTATTATTGTCTGTTGTCTTTATTGCCCGCTGGTTTTTATAGCTAGTCTTTATTATCCGCGCCAAGAATGACGCTTACATCTCTTTTTCGGCAGACATCTACAAGACTCAATCGCTTCAATGCCACCTGAAAGCAAGTACTTCAAAAATCCTCTCCCTCCTCCAAAGAAGAAATTATTGTGACTGTAAAACGCTATGGATATGGTTAAATTTCTTAATTACTTTGAATTTAAGTGGGCCTCTATACAATATTGTCTTTGTAAAATTGTCACTTAGTCCCCTCAATTTAGGGATGGCAATGGGGCGGAGTTGGGGTGGAGTTGGCTAAACCCTACTCCGCCCCGTTAAAAAATCCATCGTACCAATTCCGCTCCAACTCCTGGATGAGTTTATAATTAGTATACCATCCCCACACCTCCTCCGGTAGACAAAATAACGACTCCACCCCGCATATTCCGTTTAATTGGGGTAAAATTGAAACTATTGAATTAATTCCTTAACTTTGAATAGAATATATTTTAGTAAGTAGTGATTCTAGCGAATATTTAATCAAAATATATTAATGGACACTTAAATTAAATATATATATATATATATATAGGGGGCGGGGCGGGGCGGGGGCATCACTAAATCCGCCCCCACCCCAAACCCGTTGCCATCCCTACCTCAATTCAAACCACCTCACAGTTTTAACTTTATGTAAATATTATATTATTATTAATAAGATCAAAATATTAGGAGTAAATTAGTGAAGATTTACCAATCTATCAATTCTGTAGGATCCTACCCCCATCTAATCTTTGGCTTCCGTTGAATCTATGAATATTTGGTCGTTTTGAAGGTTGTTCATTGCTCGATTAGCAACATGATCTGCTAGAGTATTGGATTCCCTATAGCAGAATTCTCTTTGTTTGGAGCCAAAGGTCTTATATAAATTAGCAGAAAAATCAAAATTTTTACAAAGGTTCATAGAAGATAATTGAAAGCATAAAAATACCTTAGACGAGCTGCATATGGACTGCTGGGTTTTATATCACCCTTCAGATCACTGTCAAGAGTATAAATCCATATCTTCTTACAACAATTTTTGCAAACAAAATATTGTAAAAGGTCAATTAAGTTTCTACTAAGTCGCCGCATGACACACAGGCCATCAAGAGGTCAATTACCATATGACAAAAGGTAAAAATCAGTCCTATGGAAAAAAGTGAAAACCACCTACTTCTTGTCACGGGTAGTGGCTTGCACAATTCTGTAGGATCCTACCCCCATCTTTTACAATATTTTGTTTGCAAAAATTGTTGCAGGAAGATATGGATTTGGTCTGTGTGTTGACTCTTGTGGCACCCATTGGTGGTTTGTTTTAACTGTACAGCAAACCAACTTCTGTTAAGTGGATGCATTTCGTACTTTATATAACCAGATGCTTTATATAAACAGTTTTTTTTTGTTTTTGTTTTTGGGTATATTGTAGTTGGGTACATATCATTGGAAACAGTAGAGCATAATACAGTAATTAAATTGGTTTATTACCTGAAGAGTACAACATTTAATTTCTTGGGATCTTGTTACAAAACAAAGAGGGAGTTTTCTCTAAAGCTTTATGAGACATCAGAAAAGCTGTTTTAAGTCCACCAACAAAAGCGGAACTCTAAGTAGATGACATCATATGCGCACTTCACTCCTACTGTCCCCTAATATCTGCGATCGGGGCTATCAGCTAAGCCGTTGTTCGGTGTCTCTCTGATCGTGAAATCCCCTAGCGTTCTTTCTGAGCCAGGAGAAATCTCAAAGATGATAGATTGGTCCCTGTAGTGGTGAATCGGACCGGGCAAACACAAGCCAAGTGATAGGAATTGAATTAGCCAAGTGAGTCATTTGACTGCTATAGCCGACTGCACTTTGTCAATTGGATCTCACTCACTAGAGGGAAACCAAGGTAAGGGTGGATTTTCATGTATACGAGACTCAACTGCGAACCCTTAGGCAAAGGCTCGGGAGTCACTTCGACTCAGCTTCCAGGGCAAAAGGACCACCAGTTCTTCGAGTTGCTCAAGAAGAATTACTTTAGCATCTGGGCCAAGGCTCAGCCATGTTGAAAAATGTCGAAAGCACCTCTGTTTGGGGTTCTAAAAGGAAATAATAGATGCATTGAAAGCGGTTATGAAATAAGGAACTCAGCCTACGAATTGACGTGAGATTGCGCGTTGTTTGAGAAGAGGCAGATATGAAGATGAAGGGATGTAGAATCTTGCCAAGAAAGGACACATCCCGTTAAGATTCTTTATCAAGTATGCTCAGCATTACTTTCTACCAAAGAAGATGGAAGGACATAATTCTTTTACAAAGAATTTTTACCGTATATTATTGGCCAAGCCATCTCAAATATTAGTAGTAGGACTCTGTACTTCCATTAATACGTGCATTAGATAAAGAACGAAGTAGACGAACATTTTAACTATTGCCTGCAAATATCATTACTCATGATTTTAAACTAAAGCTGCATTAAAATGTGAAGAACGTGGATTTTCTTTGGTGGTACGCATTCTAACAGAAAGCACCAAGTGTAGGGGGAGAGAATTTTGATCCAAGAGTCTGATTGCATTTGGGGAAAATTGATCCAGCTCATCACATCTATAAATTTGGAATTGGATGTCAGAAATTCAAATAATACAAAATTTTACTAAATAAAAGCCAGCTCATTACTGAAAATCAAGAAAAGGGGATTTTCTAAAATTTGGCTAAAATGCCAATAATCTGAAATATTTTAGTTTTGAATTGAATATTCTTTAAATCACTATTTGAAAAAGAAAATATATTTTCAAAGTGAAAATTTTGATTTCAAAAACTTAACCTAGCATGTAGTGTGTTTTAAATGAAATTTGACAAGTATAAAATTTTAACGAATATGCAACACACTCATTTGTGAACTCCATAGAGATAGTCCAATAACAATACCTCACATTTTACTTTGAAAGTTGAGGGTTCTAATTTTCTTGGAGCATTTAATTTTTGGTTAACTCTCATTTGCATTTGTGTGATATTGTTCGATTTGGGTCTAAATTTGCACGGTTTTGCTCTTTCCTTTATTAAGGGGATGTCGCACCAGTCCACGACATACACTCATCAGGTCACCATAATCACCCTCTTTGGGACCCATCCACAAGGTTGCAACAATCACCTCTCTTTGGGATCCAACGTTTTCGTTGGCCCCGCTTCCGGTTAGGTCAAGTTCTAATACATTTATAACGACCCACTCCACCACATGGTATGATATTGTCTACTTTAGACCTGAACGCGCACGATTTTACTCTTACATTTTATCCCAAAATGCCTCAATTAATTGGAGATAATACCACCACATATAAGCACTTCACATTTCCCTTACCTAGACGATGTGAGATTGTGCACTCATAACCCGCTCAGCGTGCTCAGTTTAAGTTGTTACAAAAACAATTGAGAATAAATACTACGTAATTATTAGCATACTGAAAGGCATTAATAGTGAGAATTTGTAGAACGAAAATATTTTACTTCGTGTTTGCACAATTTGGCGCCCTTTGGGGTCTGCGGACGTGCCAGAATCCTTGTTCGCCCAAATTTGGGATGCGCTCAACATATTACACATGGAAAATTAAGAAGGAAAGAAAAAGCAAATGGGCAATGCTGTATTACAATTTTGGGTAATGGAAGTAAAATATTTTCCTCTTACAGATTAAATCTTCAGATCAATACTCTGAGAAATAAATTATGACCACCTTATATTTGATTGGTTTGTTAGCGTGATCTATTTATGTAGGACACATTGGGACTAACAAGTGTATCTTATCATTGAAGGCTGATCTTCTACGCATCCAAGGTTCACTTAAAAAGGGAGGTTTGCTTTCAGGAAAATATAAATAACAAGTTAGTGAAGGAAAGGACGGCATGAGTGATACAGTGTTGTTACCTATGATGTCTCAATTTTTTTGGGCAGAATGGGAATTAAGGATGTGTTAAACCCTTATGAGCATGCTCTCTCATGGAACAAAGTGAAAAGAAGACGCACAATATATAAATAAATAAGAGTATTGCTTTCTATTATAAATTCTGTCATTATACAGTATATCAATTTTTTTATTATTTTTTTCATGACAAAAATGTTAGTGGTTAGATGAGAGGCGGAGAGTGTAAGGCTCAAACACAGGCTCCCGAACATAAAGAGCAACCCAACCACTCAAGCAACACGATTACACTGCACATGCATACAAAGAATGTTGTATTTTCAGACCAAGTATGACAAAGAATCACAATCAAACATTATAATCCAGAATATGAAGCTGAGAAAGCAACAAATCACAAAGATTGCATATTGTTCCACTGTATCTTAATTAACCAAATTTGATTTGAAAAAAAAAAAAAAAAAAAAGACAGAAAATTAACAAGAAATGAGATTCCTGCCCGAGAATCTGAAACGACCAAGCAAGTTAACTAAATTCAAGTGGTCCCAAAATCATTGTTACCAACACTGCAGCCTAATTATTAAACCCAAAATAAAAAATGAAAAATAAAAAACTCATCCTAGCTCCTGTATTTGCACAAAATATGGTACAATTCTGTCTACCCTTCAGATTTTGCCAATCTTGAAATCAAAAACTAAATATAACCCCATGTTTTTACTCTTCCTGTTTTCAGCAAAAGAGGTTCTCTTTGAGTGTTGTCTAAATGAGCCCTGTATTTTGATTGTGGGCTTGAACAGGCATACCTGAGCCATAGGGGTGGATATTGGCTTCATACGGATTTCCGAAAGGATTTAAAGGCTGTTGTTCTTGACTCATCATCATCATCTGCTGCTGCTGCTGCAGCTGCAGCTGCTGAAACATGAAAGCCTGCTGCTGATTGGCCATGGCTGCCAATCCAATAGAAGGTGGAGCAGCCACACTGGAGGCAAAGAATGGATTATGTGGTGTTTGTGCCTGTGGCATCACGACACTGGCCATCGGGACTGGCTCCCATGGGTTGTAGCTCACATTTTGGTTGCTTCTTCTGATTGCATCATCGTATAAGCTGTCTAGTGTGACTTTGTCTAGCCCTCCCGCCTTATTTTTCAAACAAGTAGAAAGGCATCAGTATGAAGTGTAGCTGTATAACTAATTGACAAAATTCTCTCTTAACAAAACGATGCATGCGTAAGTATGGGAGTAGCGATAAACATACTGGAATATATACTTGATACATGCACGAGTTTTTCATTATTTGGGGGTGGGGAGGGGGTGGATATTTTGGTGAGTACACTGACGTCGATAAGATCCAAGAAATTGATCATGGTAAAAAAATCTAAAGACGAGAATGTATAAGCAAAAATAAAAAGAGACAGAATATAATACCAGTTTACTAGCAACAGCTGCGCTTTCATTTGAGCTGGGGGCAGTAACAAGTGCCAATTCCCAGCTTGTAGTTCCATTTGCAGTAGCCGGACCAACAGAATTTGGTTGGTCAACTACAACTACCATCATCATAAAAAACATGGTGAACACGGTATAGTGAAATATATTATTATATTTATTGAAGATTTTCCTCCATTGATTTCTCCTCTTCGATAATATTCTTAAAGAAAACTTACCAACTGGTACTATAGACAAAGCCAAAGCATTCTTCTCATCTAATTCTGAAGCCCCTGGGATAGGATCATTCAAACCCTGGATGGAAGAAATGGTGTTAATAAGACTCCATGGATTTTGTTAAACAAGAATTCCCAGTAAAATAATATACTTCATAAAAGAAATGAGAAAGATAGTAGTAATTACCAGAAGATCTGGTAGTTTAACAGGAGCTTCCACCTTATAAACTAGTTCTGGTTCGGGTAAAGGCGGGGACGGTGGGCGTGATAAGATTGTCTTGAGAGTATTTTTATCATCATCTACCTCCTTTGTTGAAAATATAAACGAATGATGAAGACTGGTTAGATTTAAGTAGTTAACCCCAACACTAAACAAAAAACATCTATAAAAGTCCAAACAATATAAAAAAATTATATTACATAGAAAAATTATGGTCCCACAGTCATCACAAAGAAGTTAAATCTACATAGTAAAGGTAAAATGAAAATTCTCCTCAATGAATGATTACACATATTAAAGAGAAACAATGGGAAACTTTACACATTGCAAACATTCAAACTTCTAAATTCACTTAGTTGTCTAATTTGCACACCGTCATCAAAATAAAATGGTCTCAACATCGGGTGGGTCATACACATGAGCATTACTATATTTAATGGACTATTTAGGGAGTTGGTAATTACTTCAATCTGACCTGTGCATGAATTCTTGAGATAATTCACCCGTGTGAATAATCAGATTTGACATACCTTTTGTGGTTGCATCCTAAAGCTAAATTTGAAAAATGTTTTATGGCTTATTACAACAATCAGTGACACTGAAGTTATTTTGCTTTCCTTTAGTGATAACAAAAATAATAGTGGCACATGTAACTGTACTTACATTATATTTCTGAAAAAATAAGTTTAACAGAGAGAGAGAGTGAGTCCATACTTGATCTTTGCGAACAGTTGAAGATTGTGGAATTTCTCTGACATACTCTTCCATGGCTTCAATAAATGATGCAGGGGGCTTCATTATCAATTGATATTTGATTACATCAAAATATAGTCAAGAGCAAAAAGGAAAACCATTAAAAAAAAAAAAAAACAAAAAATCCTAAGAGGAAATCCAAAACCTGCTCGATCATAATGAACTTTTCTCCAAGTCCAATGTCAAGGCTTTTACATATTTGATAGAAATCTGAGAGTCTCTCTGCCTGAAAATAGTCAGAATTTTAAGACACAGCCATGAGATCAGAAATCCTCTTCCCCCACACTAGACAGTCTAAATGGTTACTAGGAGAGGCATTGCCGCATTTCCACAAGCAGTCGAGACTTTTTTTATGAGAGGTATTCAAAGTAGAATATTACCTGCTGCACTGCCCTCTGGTATATACCCAAAGCTCTTACAGAATCATGGTGTTGCATCTCAAAGAACTGTCATTATCAGGTTGTCATATGTAAATGATTTGCTAAAGAACCAAACTACTCCTTCGAAAAATCAAAATCCCAGTTTACCTTGTCAACCAAATTAACCGTTCCATCACTTATAGAATTGTAAATTTTGATGCTTTCAGAAGCAACCTGTTTAATAAAGACGATCACCTCAACAGAATGAAATCTGAAAGTTATTTCACCAAAGTTATGGACAGAAAACATTTAGAAACTTCACATACCATCGAAAGTGCCAACTGAATCACAAAATTATCAACTGCTGCTCCTTGAGGCTGCATTAAAATTTCACAATTAGGCCCCAATTTGAATGTTAAATAATTAAGACTGTGTGGCATTATGTTTGATATAACCCAACTTGATTTGGTCGTGATCATAAAATTACCAGGCAACCAAGAACACGAAATAGAAGCTGCTGCAAAGCTAGTAACTGCTCGAGCAATTCAGGAGTTTCCAGATCTTTAGTTGTCTGCATGACAAGTACATCTAAGAATTTTAATAAGATGTTAGAAAGTCTTGGGGACAATGTAATGTGCGGCAATTAACCAAGAACCGTAGCACACTAGTATCACTGACTGATATCAAGAAATATGACAACTCATTAGGAACTCAACCACCAAATAGTTCCCTAAAATTTAATCTGATACTAAATTTGACTGTTCTAGTCCATCAAAACATGTGTTCAAAGTCCAGTTTTATATGCTGCAACAGAAACCAGAACCCTCTAAGCATATTAAAGTAAAATGGAACTGTAAAGAAGCCATTTTTTAGTGGAATAATGAAGAGTATCAAATAATAATTGCCGAAGCAAAATAAAAATAAAGTCCACAGCGAAAAGGAATTATTGGTAAAAGATAATTTTCTTACAGGATGATCTCTCTCAACATCATAATTCAAGACTCGAAAACATTCCAGCCTTTCCTCCAAAAATAAGGCATAACAGCGGACCCAGGCAGAATAATCCCATGCTGAGGAGCAGAGTCATTAACAAAGAAGTTGCCTTCCACAAATTCAAATGAAATCACAAATATTTAAAACAAAATAGAGCACACCATTTGGACTGGAATCGTCTTTGAAATGAGCCAAGTTCAGCGTATGGTTTCTGCTCCTATGATTTACAAACTCTTCATGGAATGTGGAATCTACTTCCCTCAAAGCACGATGGATAACAATTAGAGTTTTCAAGGCAACCTAGACAATTAAAAAAAAAAGATTAGTCACCAAAAATCTTATGAATCTATTACTGATTATTCATGATCAATAAGCAAGCAACCAGTCAACAACAGGTTTAACCAATATGGCATAATATTATCACAGTAATCGCGATCTGACGTACCACCCAATTATGTGTTTTAGATAATCGCCTAGCAAGAGCATGTATGCAGTATGCAACATCAGCACGGGACCTTGTAGCTGAAATAGCACCAAAAATAGCTGCAAAGAAGAACAAAAAATCTTTGTGAGACATCTAGTATAGACACCTGAAAAAAATGATGAGTGCCAAGTGGATGATATTAAGCAACAGTAGACATGCCAATACTAAAACATTCCATTTCCTTCCATAAAAATACCCACCTTTTATGTGCTTTTCTTTTGCTGGGCGCTCAACATGATCTGTAGACTTAACGATGGCGATGTCCAATTCCTGCATAACTCATAAATCATAATCCATAAGAAGTTCAGAGACATCTACTATTACAAGATTAATCAGAGAATCCCGAAATGCCATACCTTGTAATCACTATTTACTTTAGCCAAATTGACAGTGGTAGTATCCTTAATAGCTCCAAGTGCTTTCCTTAAACTCGTCGTCTGAGTACCCCCTCCCGACATTCTCTCTCTCAATCAAACAATTCTACACAAGGCTCGACGGATTAATAATGATAGCCTTGTTAAATGGATCTCAATTCACCACTTTGAAATATAAAAAATTAAAATAGAAAAAAGTTCAAGCTGATGTTAACAAAATTGATTTAAAAATAGTTATCATTACCCAGGAGCTGACCTAGAATTATCATCAACAATAAATAAAAAAAAATGTAAATTTGATATATACCTGTTTATGCATGCATATATATGTAATAATCACAAGTCCTGAATTTCACCAGATAAGAAACTTTTCTGCACAAAAATTGTCTTATATATTAAACCATAACAGCATGAAAATTACTAAATCAGCAAGAATATAAATATTAGACCATAAAATTATTCACAACAACCACCATTATACTTGTAGGAACTAGGAACACATAAACCAACATCAGTATCAAGCCGAACATCAATATTAAATTAAACAAAACAATATAAATTCATAACCAAAGAACTAACCAAATATAACACAAACCTCATAAATCACAGTTAGCTATGCATGTACATTATTAGCCGTTTAAACTCATATGTAATATAACATGGAACCACAGAAATCAGAGAGCCATAGAAGACATCGACTCACCAGAACTAGAGAGAGAGTAGAGAGAGAAACAGAGAAGAGAAGCTAATTGCAGAGAAGACAAAGAGAGTCGGTCGAGTGTGCTCTAAGACGAACAAAAGTCGCCAAAAACAAATTTCTTTGTTTGCCGTCGTCCGGCGTCGTTGGCTTTGTTTTTAGGGATTATTAGGGGTTAATGATTCAAATTCTCTTAGTGTCACTACGTTGACCAAAAATACTGACGTGCATATGAAAATCAAAATAACTTGGACATAAAAAAATATATATTATTTATTTGTCAAAAAGGTGTAAATACACAGAAAATATTTTATTTTGTACATAGTGTATCACTTTTGTGCACATAAATACCACCTTTGGTGTTAGGTGCACAAAAAGTGGTAGCAAATAAATAGTGTTTTTTTATATCCACGTATTTTGGTCAATTTTATTTTTTAAAATTTATGGGGCTTTAATTCCGTCAAATAATAAAAATGAGTTGTTAATACCATTTATATGTAATAATTTTTTTATATTACTTTTAATATACATACATACGTATAGAAATATGTCCCTTTTTTTAATTTTTATTTATTTATTTTTTAACCTTCGAAAGTTGTATACTTTTTCGGAACTCGAATAAAGGATTATTCAAAAACGACAATTTTCAATATTGTTCTTTTTAAAAATTAGAAGGTAAAGATTAGAAAAGAAAGAGGGAATAGATTTGGACGGGACATACAGAGAGACCTACATATGGGTCAATATCATGAAAATGATTAATTTTTATAAAAAGTACGAGAGGGTCTAAAATGCGATGAAGTTATTAAAACTTATTTAAGAAAATATAATGAAGGATGACGTGTAATAAATTGAATTAAAAACTAGAATTCGCATTATCTATCCCACCCATCACAACTACGTATATTTTTATTAATATATAATACATATATCTATTTACCCTTTAAAAGTGTGTTCTATTTTTAATTTTTATATACACTCTTTTTCAATATTTTATAAGTATCGTCTCGATTTTTACACTTTTTATTTTTAATTTTTAATGCGTTCGTTTCCATTTTCACACTTTCTATTTTAATTTTTAAAGTGTTATCTCTATTTTATTTTTAACTTTTATATATACACTTTTTTTAATATTTTATAAACATCATATACACAGTTTTCGGTTACACAGTTTTTCTCACATTACATACTAGACATGGAGTCTATCTCTATTTTCCATGACTTCTTATTTAACAAAAATTCTTCTTGGACATGATATTACTTTACTACTGATATTTATTCTTGTAACTCATGTAAGATTAAAGAGTTAGACTCTTATCCAAAATACTCTTTAAATATTTAATTGACATCTTCTTTTTATAACATGTCTCTCTACTCCAGTTGTATTATTTGTTTTCACTTTCCTTAACTCTAAACTAATAAATCTTTAAAAGTTATCTTCTAATGGATAATCGTGATTTTTTTTTTGTAAAATACTTATCATTTACTAATTACTTAATTTTAAATTAAAAAAGAATGTTCCTAACAGTTGCAACTTGTACCCAACAATGTGCCATTTGGAAAGACGATGTACTCATTTGCTGGTTGCGAAGAAGTTTGTGCCCTTAAAAAAATTGTAAATGGTAATACAATTATTTAGAAAAAATATATATTAAAGATAAATATATTTATTTTATACCATCAGTTTTAAATTTAGAATTTTAAAAAACAAAACAGTTTTCCTTTACACTTTTTGGTAATAATAATAATATATACTTGATTTCAACATTTTATAAGCATTATTTCCATTTTAAAAAACCTATATGTTGTTTTTGGTTTTCACAGTTTTCTCCGTACATACGTTGCTTAAGACATTCTTTAAAAAAATAATAATAATAAATATTCCTTTTTTTCAATTGTTCAAACCGACACGTCTTCTTCTTTCATGTTTACTCGGCAGCTTTTTTTTTTTTTTGATCCCCTTCTTCTTTGAAAAAAATTCCCATTGTTTCGAAATAATATCAATCAAACCGACACGTCTTCTTCTTTCATGTCTACTCGGTTGTTGATTTATGAAGAACCTTATATATAATCAGCGGATTGGATCTTGCCTCTGTCATTCTACCTTTCTCACTTCTTTTACCCCTCTTGCTTCTTCTACCCATCTCTTCTTTCAACATTTTCTATCTAACTCTACTTCAAAAGTCAGTATTTCGTTGAAGCACATAACTCAAGGCCTATTTTGGCTTAAGGTATGTTATTTATATTTTTGTTTTTGAGGATACAATGTTTGAATTTTATTTTCCTATTATGTTTCTTAATTATGTGAAGTTTGTTGACCATAATTCAGAATTATTCATAATGTTCTCATTCTTTTGGTTCATGTACATCGGATTATAACTCAAAATCCTTAAATTTTTTTTTTTTTAAAGGTATGTTTAAATTTGAATTAAAGAACAATTTATATATTTTATCTTTCTATCTAAATGATCACGTGCCGACAGCTGCTTAACCCTACTATTTTTTTATTTTTTATTTATTTTTCCTGAGACTAAATGAATTTCAAAACGTTATGTTTTGTATTCCTTGAATTCTTCCACTGTTTTTGTTGGGCACATTTTTGACACTAGAAAGGTGTGCATTCATGGTTAGTTATTAGCTTTGTGAAATTTGTGGCACTAATAGTACTGTCATGATGCTGTCACTGACATTTGTCGTACATTGAAGTGCATTTTATATGTGATGCGTAAGTTACCCAACAAAGATGTTCCTGGGTTGGAAATTCATTTTCAGAGGAATAATATTTCATGCAAAGTTAATGTTCAATGGATTTTGAGAGCAAACTACAAATCTTATAGTTTGCATCTTGTCTAAACTACATTTTGATTCATCCTTTTCACATTGGTTCACTCACCACCATCCTGGCCACCACGTAACCATTGTGCTGCCACCAATATTCTTTTGTTGCAATTGCCGCCACAATCACCTTCCCCCATAGTCTCCGCCTGTAAGAGTTGCTGCTTCCAGTAACACAAAGTTTTCACCAATGCCAATACTATCAACACTGCCATGTTACCGACATGTCTTCTTCTTTCATGTTTACTCAGTATTTTATTTTATTTTATTTTTTTTGATCTCCTTCTTTGAAAAAAAATTAAAAAAATTCCTTTTTTTTCCATTGTTTCGAAACAATATCAATCAAACCGACACGTCTTCTTCTTTCATGTCTACTCGGTTGTTGGTGTCTGAAAAACCTTATATATAATCGGCGGATTGGATCTTGCCTCTCTTATTCTACCTTTCTCGCTTCTTCTACCCCTCTTGCTACTTCTACCTATCTCTTCTTTCAACATTTACTATCTAACTCTACTTCAAAAGTCAGTATTTGGTTGAAGCGCATAACTCAAAGCCAATTTTGGCTTAAGGTATGTTTCGATCTGTATTTTGTGTTATTTATTTTTTTGTTTTTGAGGATACAATGTTTGAATTTTATTTTCCTATTATGCTTCTTAATTATGTGAAGTTTGTTGACCATAATTCAGAATTATTCATGATGTTCTCATTCTTTTGGTTCATCTACATCAGATTACAACTCAAAACCCTTAAAAAAAAAAAATTTAAAGGTATGTTTATATTTGAATTAAAGAACAATTTATATATTTTATCTTTCTATCTAATCATATATATATATATATATATATATATATATATATATATATATATATTGTTTCATACATAATTATTACATGAGGAGTTATTATATTTTATAAAAAAAAAAAACTCTTTCATGTTACGTTCTTCTCTACAAAAACTTTTTCTCCAACATTGTAAATGCACTACAAATAAATAAGTGCATCTTATACCTTTTATAAATTTAGAAACACTTTTAATAGCAAACACTTTTACAGAAACGAGACGGTTGATAGTTATAGATTCTATGTACGAATAAATAGTAATACTTACTCCATATAATATCTTTCATTTATTTTTAACCTTTCATTTATCTTTCATATATTCTTTCTTTTTACATAAATCTACTACCCTCTTACATACGTACTCTCGATGAATTTTAATGGTTTGAAAAATAAATTTCAACTTTGTTTGAACAACTTTATAGGTCTCTATATACATAATATGTTATCATGTATATTGTATTCTATTCAGTCATATATTAAAAAAAACAAAATAGATATACGACATATAGGTATACTTATTAAATTTTTATTGCAAGTAATGTTTGGTCATGATGTAGTGTTTATAACGTTATTGTTATATTCTAATACATCATATGATTTTATATAATAAATTTCTTATAGAGTTGATTCAATAGTTTTTTTTATTACTTTGCGAAATAAAATTATATTCTTTAATTGTTCGATAATAAATGCCGCAAGAATATTGGGGTTTCCATAAAATTTTGTATAAAGAGATTTTGAAGATGATGAAAAAGTATGAAGAGAATTGAATTAGTGAGTTTTAAATCCTTATTTATCTTTGAGATTAATAATCACATATTACTCGAACGAATGATTGAATGATAACTTAAAATTTTGAATAAACCAAATTAATTTACTACTTCTATTCAATTATTTTAATTTCATTATAAATTTTTCTACTATTTTACTATATCTCAAAATATGATTAAGTTATAATCACGTGTATCGCACGTTATATCTCAAAATATGATTAAATTATAATCACGTGTATCGCACGTGGTTCTATCTAGTATATATATATATATATATTCACAAACATAGTACTACGTACTATACATTAACATTCAAATATATACACGGGGATGGTAAGATATATGATGATATAGTATTTCGTAGAATTAGAGTAAATCGGACAAAATTGAAAAAGATTAGTGAGATTTTGCAAATTAAAAAAAAAATAACAAATAGATTATTATTATTTGTCTTTAAAATGTAATGACAATTGTGCTTTTGATTGTATTTGATTTTTTTCATTTTTTATCTTTCTTTCTAGTGGTACCTCAATGGGTTTGTTGCCAAGGTAATTTTTATTTTTTCCTCCTTAAAACAGTAAATGACGTTTGAAACTACTTTGTTAAAAGCTACAAATGACAATTGGGCCCCACAATGCACATTTTATCAATCTGAACGGTAAAGTTGGTCCTTTGACTTATCAAAAGAAAAAAATAATAACAATAAATTAAATTAAATTAAATTAATTTGGCCCTTCAATTTTAACACATTCACTCGTTCTTTGGTGAAGTTTTTTCCCATTTGAATGCTTTTTTAGTAGGTAAAATTCAAGCAGTCACAGTAATTGACAAGTAAAAAAGTGGTGTGTGCTCATGAATTTTGTAAAGTATTTCTTGTTCACATCACTTGCAATTTGATATTGACTTAAGTGATCCATTATTATCATAAATGAAACTGCTAATACCGATTGAATCTTATTACAACTTATGTGGAAATTAAACAAATAAATAACAGAGTAATAGGTTCTTCAACAAAACTTTGTTAATCAATCGTCACCTTCAGTAAAAAGCCATACATCAGCAAATTTTATGAATACAGTCTGAAAAAAAAAAAAAACAAAACAAAAAAACTTACGATTATTCTTTTCTAATAAAAATGTACATATTCATAAAATAATAAATATTAAAATTATTAAAATAAAAATAAAATTAACGAAATAAAAAGAATGAATAATGTTACAAAGGCTATAAGGCACGACTCAGATGCATATCAAAATTGGTGGGCGATCATATGTGACTAGTACCTCAAGATCTCTTCACAACAGCTGTAGCAAAGTAAGGATGGTGGCTAAATTCAAAGAAGACCTTTAGTGATGAATCAAGTGTCCCTAAACGAGATATGAGATTTAGGGCAACACCGTTGTGTTCTGCCACCTGCTCTATCCGTCGAAGTTCTGCCATTTTTTGTGGGTCACTCGAAAAACTACTTCTCAACTCCTTGGCAATCCTCAGAGCATCTTTAAAGCAACTATACACAGTTAATGTCTGTGCAAGGGAGTGACTGGTCAATGCATATAGGAGGGGATTGTGAAAGATCAAATACAGTAATTTAATGCCACAGAGATTACTCACAGATAAGCGAACATGGCCAGTACATTCTTTGAATGAGTGGTATGAGATGTGATCGGGAAGGCAAGCTTTCTGTAGGAGCTCGAAGTGCTGAATGAATCTCTGAGAAGGAAAAAGGTAGGAGATTTGTTGAAGACATAAATGATGATGTTTTTGTTTACAACACAAAAATGCCTTCACAATCACTTTTGGCAGATTAACCCGAACTATCAATTTGGCTAAAAAGAAACTCAAACTATAGAAAAAATTTACAAACAGTCTCCTCACCTCTGTTTGCATTAAGATTCCATAGACAATTTAGCAAAAGTACTGGACTGTCATTGAATGGGCAATGGAGAAGGGGGCAAAATACAGAAAACCTGAACTATTACTTTTTGACAGATTATCCCTTAACTATCAATTTGACGAAACCTCCTTGAACATGCAAAAAATTTGCAATCATCCCTCTCACCTCTGTTTGCCATTAAAAGAAAATTATAGGTAACTCTAATTTCCACACACACACATGCATATTTGAATACTTAACATGCAAAAAATTTGCAATCATCCCTCTCCCCTCTGTTTGCCATTAAAAGAAAATTATAGCTAACTCTAATTTCCATACACACAAACACACACACACACACATGCATATTTGAATACTTAACATGCATCAGTCGGCTGATTAACAAAAAACAACTTCCATGCTACTCAGAGTAATAAGAGTTTAAATGTGTGGTAGATGAAAAAGGAAAATAAAGATACCTCATGCTCGGTATTAAAAGGACCCAAATTCTCAAAGACCTTCTGTTCATTCTTCAAAGCAGCGAGCATCTGGAAAAACTGACTTCATTAGTAAAGCATCAGAGTCTACAACAGTAATATTACACACACTAAAAATGGTTGAAATATCTAAATACAAAAAGAACTCCCCCAAGAGACCTGCCAAATATGGTTCATATCTACTTATGATAGACCCAAGCATCATTGGTGGAAGGGAACAAAATCTTCCCACATTCATATCCTCAAATAGTTTCCTAACAAGGTCAAACACGGAACTAACAATTTCCAAGCAAAAGAAGCATATTCACCATCATGAGCCCTTCAGCAAGATATATATGGCACTGCAGCAGCAAGATCTTGGGTGAAATTTGATAATCCCTTGCCACATCCTTTAGGGAGTCCCTTTTCTTCTTCCCCTTCCGTTTGTCTGGTAAAAAATACAAAACAGTTCAAAAGGATTTCACGAGGAAAAGTGAAATTCTCCAATGGGGCAACTATCACATGCAGGCTAAGAAAGAACCTATAATAAAGCATCTGCTTGCAGGCGAAAAGAGTCATACCACCATTCAGGTACCCTACCTATGACTCCATCTTTCACCCAAAGATGCCTGAGCAGATAATTATAATTAACCAATCTAAAGGCTCTCTAGACAAATTGTTAATTCTATGGGAACCCATAAAAATGAAAGAACTCAAATGTTCAAAATTACCCCATACAGGTCTTTGTCAACTTCATTTATCTTTTGGGTTCAAATTATATTCAATGTGACAACCATGAAGTGGTGATCCAGCTCATTGCATCCATGCACAACTCAAACGGCCAAGTAAGGATGCAACTTAGGCTGGTTGGGTGGGTTGAGGGGTCAACATAGGCTGAACTTGAGGTATAAAACCTGCAACCTAATCCAACCTTCAACCACAGCTCTCCAACATACCCTCAATATTTTGAGCTCAGGTTGGAAAAAATGGGCTGAAAATTGGGTAGATATTGGGTTGGGCTTCTCCTGCGTATTTTTATTTTAAAAAAAATACTCTAAAAACTAAATAGAAATATAAAAAATATTATAACCAAACTCAAATTCAAAGAATTCATATACGAGATATCAAAATTTAAATAAAAAGGAAGCAAAAAAAAAAGGTAGATCATGATTATAAATATATAAAAAAATAGATTATATATAGAGTGGGGCAGCGTTGAAATTAAGCTCCAGTTTGCCCAATTTGGTTTTGGTTTGTGTGGCCCAACACCCCACCTTGACCCAACTTGACTCAAGTTAGGGTTGGAAATTTTCAACCGAGTCCGACCCTAATCGCAAAAATGGTTATCCAAGCTTATGAAATTTTGGGTCGGGCTTAGGTTGGATTGGGTTGGCTCGTCCAACTTGTACCCCTACTAGCAAAACAAAGGACAGTCAACTACAGACTCACCAGTTGCATTGCTTGCCATCATCTTAACATGTGTTTTTTCCGCCAGCTTGATCAAAACAACATAAATATACCAGTACACCATGCAATATTCACTGGGAGAATATAGCTCAAGCTCAAAGCCCAACACGAGAAAACGAGAAGCTATCCAGTATGTCTGCTCCTCCACCCAAACGAGGATGTTTTTGGTTATCATCATGCATGCATCCTGCAGAAACAATTAAATAGATAAATCATACATCGAATCAGTATAGTCCATTTTTTTCTCGATATTTCCACTTCCTTTACAGTATGTCCTTTGTTTACCAATGGGGACGACAATAGTAACAATAAAGTCGTAATGAAGATCATAGTGATGGCTGCAATTGTGACCACTGACCACAGAAACTCTCTCCCTCCCCTCTCTCCATGTCCGCGTGCAAAGGACATTTTTAAAAAGTAAGTCCAACTGTTAATATTGTATTGATTGCTGGCACTGGCGCTGGCGATTTTGTTTACAATAAATATCTACAGAAAAAAGTCTATCTAAAAATATGTGTTTCTTGCATTGCAAGACCTGAAATCCTTTGAGAGGAAAACCTAGATCAGATGGTCTTCTATTAAGTTGTAGGTATTTTTTCTGGGTTTGAAACACTGGCCTAAGGTGTTCTCTAGACACACTTGATAAGGATCAACCTGGTAGTTGAACCTTCTATGGAATCCAAAGGTTAAAATGAGTAGTGAATCCAAGTTATGATATCTGCAAAATGCCAATGAGTTCATATGATCAAAATTTTCATTCCAACACCTTTCCCCAGGGAACTTGTCAAAAATTTCTTATCATCTGTTCTAACCATCATTCCAACACCATTTTTCCCAGGGAACTTGTCAAAAATTTCTAATCACCTGTTCTACTCGACAGATACCTTTTTCTATTTTTGCTAATACGAATGGGAGTGATATATTTTTTATTGAGAAGGAAGAAGAAACTTCACAAAGAAGTTATAGATAAGATGTGGGAAGTGGAACTAGGGTGGCAAAAGCAGTTTCGACAAACAATTGTAGCATCAAAACTCTCCATTCAGCTGAAAAATCAAGTTTTGAGTTGGATGCTTTAGTAATCAGCAACAAAGCAACATGCATGTGTCGGGCTAAATTAGCGGTCTCATTAAGTACATGAGATACTCTCAACACAACTCTAGCTTATTCATCATTCAACTAATAGTATTAGGATTTGCTTTTCACATATGAAAGTATTAATTGCCTTGACAATAAAGAGGTCTCCCCATCATTCAGGGATGATGTAAAACACATTAGCTTCTCCAATTTTCTACACAGACCCCAACCCCACCACCTTTTGTATGTCATATATTTTTTATGGATGATCATAAACCCTCACTAATCTGAGGTTTCTCGTAAGAACACCCATCAAAGTTTACTTCCAAATTACCATAGAAGGGGAAGAGATATACATCCTCAATATCAAATCTCCAATCATAAAGAGACCAACACCACTATGGATTCTTCCATGACCAAAGCCCCCCAGGAGGCTAAAACTATTCCCCTCCTTCAGCGTCAAATTAACTGTCTAGCAAGAGCCTTTGCCCGGAACCTTCCTGTCCATCCCCAAACCCAGAAATATTTACAGACCATAGTAATTTGGAAGACCATGCCCCTAGGCAAAACCCATTCCACCAGACCATAGAAAAGAAGAATGATGGGATGACAGGAAAGGGCATGGAGAGAAAGGGCATTTTGCTGATTTGCCATTATTCATGCACATTATCGAAGTTCTCAATAACAACAACCCCTGTAATATCTCCATAGGTCACAGTGTTTACTTCTCTTAGGGCCATAGCCTGGGCATGGATTCCAGCAGCTGACAGTACTTTTGGCTGGCCAGTGATTTAAAGGTAAAGGAATAAGTAATGTTAATGAAGGAGTACCAACGGGCCAGTGGCCTAGCGGTATCAGACCCTTACTTCTCAAAGAGAGGTTAAGGGTTCAAGCCTCAGTAGAGGCATGTGTGTGTGAGTACCAACTATGAAAAAAAAAATGTTAATGAAGGAGCACTCCAGATCAAAAGGTTGCTAAGGATATTTTGAGACAACAAACTATAAGATTTAAAGGTACAATAAGTAAGGTGGCTGAAGAAGCATTCCTAATGAAAAGCTATGCTAAGGATATTTGAGAAAGCAGATCACTGGATTCAAGTCCCCACAGTCAAAATTAGGGGGAAGATGAGGGCATATAGGAAAGCAAAATAAAATAATAAGCACCACTAGTATCCTGCCTCTTCGGCATTAAACTAAGGAAGTTATTAAACAGATTGCAAAAAATTAATTTCACCATAACAGTGATCTTTTCGTGCAAAGGATATGTTGATGGGTCTTATATGATACAGGTAAAATGCAGTAGTGATATACTGAGAGAAGAAAAACATACCTCATCACTCAAAGTGCTTGAGATTTCCCGAAACTCCTTCCTAAAAGCCAGCTCTAGCTGTTAAACACCAGTTATAACAACCAAATCTTAAATCAGTCCTAAGGATGGGTTGCTTCTTTACCAAGAGGAAAAGTTCATCACTAAGTTTACATGAACATAAAAGCACATCATTTATGTAATTTGTAAAATAAAGAAGAGAACAATAGTCTAATATAATTAACACTTAATAATGTTCTAGGAACTATATCATTCGATGGTCCATAACTGATGATCTCTAATATGATTTCCTAATAACATTTACAGAATGGTTCTTTACATCATTATGTGTCTCTAATTTAAATCATTATGTGTCTGTAAACAACTATATGTATCCATACACACATAAATTCTATTATCACCATATCTCCTTCTCATAAAATAAATTCACCGTTTGGGGTAAGAGCATATTTTTTTTCAGGGAATTTGTTTTACTATATTCTGTTGCTGGATATGAAAGACAGATTGATGTTTTTCCTTTTCACTTTAGCTGATAGTCAATGTATCCTAATTACGAATCTCATTGTAAAAAAGAAAAATATTATATATTTCCATATAGAAATATATGAGGCCTTTACCGAGCTTTAACTTAAGTGATATCTCCTCCTCCTCCAACATGAGAGGTTGAGGATTCAAGCCCCTTTGGGGATAATAGTGGGTTTGTGTGTGGGGATCGAGTGTTATAGGCCTTAAACTCAAGTGATATCTCCTTCTCCTCCTCCAACATAGGAAGTTGAGGGTTCTCATCGCTTTGGAGGCAATTGTGGGTTTGTGTGTGTGTACCTTGCCTCCACATAGAGAGAGAGAGAGATGTAATTTTTCAAAATAGAATTTCAAAAGCTCTTTTGCTCAAGAGATGTTGAGCGTGCAAAATTTTGGGTTAACGTGTTGGTATAAAATACTATCTTGTAATTAATTTAATACATAAATCAAGATCTGGGTTTTATTTTTTTTTTAATTTATTTTATTTTTTTTTTTTTAAGAATTACATAACAAATATGAACAAGTGGTATTTGCAATGAAAAATATGACCCAAGTGTTTTGTTGAATTATATTTTATGACCAAGTGTTTTGTTGAATTATATTTCTTGGAGAACAAAAAATATAACTACAGATATTTACATTTGTTGATGCATTAATTTTTGAGTCATTAACAAATATCTGATTAAAAATCATGAAATTTAGAAAAGGGATGAGGCTCTAGAAGTAGCTTTTCCTAGGGGAGCATTGGTGGCTGGCTACTATAAAGAGTGGATTGGTATAGGATATTACATGTTAGAGCTCAGTGCATGATTGGAAAATAGGGTGTCAAGAAGCTGCTTGGAAGGTAGAGGGTGTCAAGAAGCTGTTGAAATTAATGTATTCCTAGATTTTGATACGTTCTGTAAGCAGCATAAAAAAGGCCAAAAACTTCTCCACAAATAACCTTTTTGCGAAAAAATACCCAAACTGAATCTAACGAGAGGAAAAACTGAGGAAGAAAATGTATGATGAATTTAAATAAAAAAAACAGTAACAACCCAGCAAAAGAAATTTGAACTCCCACCTTACAGATAAGCCTAAAATAAAGGGGAAATGAGGGCAAGAGATGTGCTTTAAAAAGTTCTTACTGTCAAATGCTTTGTTTCAACAAATCATTTCATCTTTCTTATTAATAGGTAAAGAATATCTATAAACAATTTAAATCCCTGATAAAGACTAGAATTTAGTATTTTCCGGCCAAGAAAAGAATTATACAACCAGTCAGACTTTGATCAATTTATTTATGGTCTAAATAGTAAGGCTTTTGCCAAGAGATGCATGAATTTCAGCGCAGTAAGTTGATAACATTATAAAACATAATTGGTGGGTCTAAGAAGGACAAATCAATAAGAAGTCATGAAATTTGAAGAAACCAACAAGAAATAAATTATTAATTGAACTGTTAGAATGAAGTTGGATACAATAGGGCAAACCTGCACAAAGATGACACGCCAATCTTGTAAAATTTTTCCAAGTTTACGCCTTTGCCATGCAACATTTGTACAAATAATTTTAAGCAAACTGACCACTAACTGCATTATTTAAACACAAATTATAGATATCAGACAAACAACTGGTGAAAGTATACAAAAAAAAAAAAAAAAAAAAAAAAGGACATAAAAATGAGTCTTGTTCCATCCCCGCTCTCTTTATTTTTTCCTTCCCAACAAGCCAAAAAAACATGAGAACAAAACACTGACTGCTGCACAGATACTCAACATAGGATGCATTCTGACAAAGGACATCATCGGAGCAAAAAATTAATCTACCTAGACAATAACAAAAGAATAATAGAGTTCCGCGAGGATTGTTTAAAACATGTAACTAAAGCAGAAGGAAATATCATGATGTTCACCTGCCCTAGTTGTACAACAGTTTCGTTCTTTTGCAAATCATGGTTCTTTAAAAATTCAGGTAATGCTGCAGCTTTGGATATCACAGCAAAGATAGGATCTCGTCCATAGAGTTTTCCGTCTTGAACCAGTAGACACTGTTCATTAGTTTTCAAGGTGAGGGTCCAACAAAATAATTATAGAGAAGTAGTAATGAAAACTTGTAAGATATATAAGGAAACGACAATGGACCAACAAGAACAAATTCACAAAATATATCATAATGAAAAATCTTTGAAGTGTCTACAACATCCAAAGCATTGTGAACTTTTCATGTTCATTTTCAACATTAATAGTTAAAGATGACCAGCGCATGTCCCCTTTTTTTCTTGAAATATATATATTACAAAACAAGGCAAATGAATTTTATTTTCCTGTGTACCATCATGCATGGCAGCTAGCAAGTAAATCATCATATCCCCAGCCAGCACTCAACAAAAATATATTGAAACATATATAACAATACTCCCATTACAAACCAACCTACACAGAACACTTATAAACATGTTTTGAATTCTCCGCTCTGGTAGAAATTTTGCTTTTCTCCTTGAAAATGAAATGAATAGATAACAGAGGGTATTAAGATTTGCAGTTAAAATATGATTTTTTTTTTTTTTTTTTTTATTTCCACAAACTGTGGATGGAAAGATTGGTTTGCCAAACATAAAATATGATTTTTATTCGTGTCCCCTACTGGTGCTACCTCTCAATTCTCCCCGATGCAACAATCCTTAACTTATACTCTCTATCTTGCTACCACTCTTCTTCATACCCTCACTTAAATGGCACTCATTTTGGGTACATGTTTCTTGACCACCCAATATTGTGCAACAAAAAGCGTTGCTGGTCTTGCTGTTGTCCTACAAAAACACACATAAGCATACGTACAAAAGATCAATACAACACATAGGTAAACATGTTAGAAAGCCTGACAAAAAGAATAAATGAACTTTTTCAACACATGGATTCTTGATACTTTCAAGAGTGTACAAATGGAGATTAAATGAATTCTGAGGTACCCCAAGATCAAGCGTATGTTTGCCCAAGTTGGCAGCATCTTTAATGGCCTCTGTTAGGTACTTTAGTTTTCTCCTCCATTTGTGCAGGTGGTTCATGTTTGGCTTTTTTCTTTTTTTAACTTTAAGGATATCTCATCCTTCACCTTTTCTCTTGTTTCACTATTATCTTTAATAATACCTTGGTCTCTTGTTTCTTTGATATATATATAAAACACACACACACACACACACACACACATGAAAAGGACATGGTAGTCAGAGAAATCAAGTAACACAAGAAATAAGGAACCCATTCACACTCATAAAATAACAAATAAGAAAAAGAGAACTAAGCTAAAGCCACTATTTCCAAAGAAAGAATATGGTAGAAAGCAACCTGAAGATGAGCTCTTGCAACCAAATCAGGTTGAAGCTTTTGGAACTCAACCACAAAGCGTAAAAGACCTTCTAGCGATGGGTCCAAAGAGTACGAACACATAACATCCAGATCATGAAGAAGCTTTTGGAAATATTCAACAGCCTGGTAAAACAAAATACCAATATTATATCATTTATCAAAGAAATTTAACAAATATAACAATACTAATTTTCCAAGTGCTCACCTTTTTCCAGTCAAAAATTTTAATTGCACGAGGTGGAGTAGGAGCAGATAATCTACTGTTTAAACTAGCATCGAACCCAATAGGTTGCCGACCAGAAGCTGTTGTTCTGTCTTCTATTCCATCTCCACAAGTTTCACATGCATGGTTGGACCTAAGGAATTCCGATGATTTAAGAATGCAATGTAGCTCTGACAAGCAGGAAGCTATATGTTTTCTCGCTAACTCTAGACCTTTGCCTTGAGATCGCCTCATACATGTAAGAACGTGGTAAAAGTGCTGAACATGAAGGAAAATAAAACGTAAAAACTACTAAAACTTTCATCATTTTTTCATGATAAAGAATGAGGATGATGCATAGAGAACAGGACAAAATGTAGGCAGTGCATAAAAAACCTGATTATACTTCCACATAAAACTAATTTAATTGCTGAGTGTGAATGCAAGACGAATGAACCAAATGTTTAATTTTTGTTCGGAGCAGACAAAATATGTAAGTTAGAAACACAATGTACTTTTTATAAGGGAGGCAAAAGCAGTATTCTTGAGGAGTGAAGATTTTTGGCATTTTCTGAACATATTTGAGACACAACATGGACTCGTTCTGGAGCAAAATTTACCCAAAAAGGAATGCCACATTTGGCATGGTGGAATGGAATGGAATGAATTGCTGAAGACCACTCTTCATTCCTATTTTGAGGTTTGGTGAGCCAAAATAAAGTCGGAAAGCCCATTCTCTTAAAATGTGTTCATTGACACAAAATGTTGGAATGTTCCATAAGAAAGTCGGAAAGCCCATTCTCTTAAAATGTGTTCATTGACACAAAATGGTGGAATGCTCATTCTTCTCCATGAGTTGGGAAATGAGCACTCTATTCCATAAGAAAATAAAAAACAAAAACAATTTAAACAAGAAACCCACATAAGATATGTAAGTTGGATGACAAGAATGAAACGGTGGTTGAGTACAAGACATCAGAGAGGTTAGGCATATATCCAATCTATCCCTCCTAGCCCGAAATCATCATTGGGTAATGACCTTTTCAAATTTAAGGCATGTTGACAACATTGAATATATAAATATATTGCACCGATAACATTGAATATATAAATATATTGCACCGTTCTACATCAGTTTAATCCTTTAAAGTAACTGATTTCTGACATCAAGTGACATAGATATCTTGCGTTTGAATCCAACACCTCCCTGGTAACTAAAATAAATGCAAGTGCTTGGCCCATTCAAGAGGAAGAGTGGTCACACATGAGGTGAGGAGGGGACATGGCAAATAAAATAAATCACTAAGTTGCACTGCTATCCATAAGCTTAAACTTATATAGTAACCCGTTTTTTAATAGAAGCCGAGACTTAAAAACAAACATGTGGCACTGTTGAAGGTGTCGGGATGTTTGAGGGCAGTATCTACACCATTCCTTCTCGCATCTAAATAAAATCTTTTCTTTTCTTTTCTTTTTTGATAAGTAAGAATTGTATAAAATCTTTGTTCACTAGGTATTCAGACATCAATATGCTTGAAAGCCTGAGTGGGCCATTTAGTGGTTGGTCCTACAGTAGTAAACATATAAAATTGTAAGTTAATGCAAATGCTTAATTTAGGCTCAAGGCTCTCATGCAAGTTTCAAACTTGATGTTTTTATTACACTTAGGCTATTATGAAAAGTTAAGTGATGTCTGGAATAATAAGGAAGTTTATAACAATGTATATTATATAATGATAAATTCGAGATGTTCAATGCTTTAGAACTTTGACATGAGTTAAAATTTTGTTCAACAATAAGTAGAATAAAACCTTAAAAAATCTTAGATAGTCTACTAAATTTAGAAGATGGTGACTGCAAAGTTCCATATTTGTAGGCAGCCTCACAGTTATTATCATTGCCATTTGATGATGTCATCTAAGACAGGTCAGTGAAGCTAAACCTTGAGAAGCTAGATAGCGGAAATGGAAGCATACATATTATATATATTTTGCCTATACACTATGATGAATGCATGTGCTCATGAAATGTTGTGTAACCACGAATTCAGGTCATTTGCAAAACTTAAAAGGAAGCAAACACAGGGTAAGACCTTACGAAAGCGTAAGCGGCATAACAAAGCTTTGCAATATCCTTCTTCTAAATCAATTTTAGTTTGTAATGGCTCTATATCTGCATCACAATAATCAGAACCATGAGCAATATTTTCAATCATCACAACTTAACAGCATTAAAAAATATGGTAAGAGTAATATACACAACTAAACCAACTACAGAAAGCCATCTCTCAACTATTTGTAGTCGGTTACATGAATCATGTTTCATCATTCCGCTCTATCTTAAGGTCATAACCTCAGTAAAATTTATCCTTCCTAACAACCTGTCCCTGAAAATATATATATATAGTCCTTCCAAGAAATTTCCATTGAGTTCCAAAGTTATATACAAGAATAATTCGTTATAGGCGTGATAGGGTTTCAACCAAATGGAGGCACTACAGTGTCTAGATCATTCGATTACAGGCTCACTATCCCCTTCCCAAAGATTGGCAGGCGACTTGATGCACTCTGACAAACCAGCCACCTGCTAATCCTAGGGAGGCTAAGTGTGGGGATTTCACAACTGGTTTAGAGTTTAAACACTTCATGATCTACTGCTTGACATATAGAATCATGGGGTGAGCCTGCAGGGCCAGACTCTACAGTGCATTACCAATCCAACCTTTGAATGTCTTAATGTCCCCACTTGGGTCACAAGCTCGAGTAACCAAGGTGGACTTATCATTCATCTATCAGCAAGATCAACCGTATTCTGGTAAGTTAACTAATAACAACCTTACAAGGTAAAATTACCATTGTTTATGTTACAAATTGCTAGTGAACCACCAAATAAGAAGATGCAGATTTTGCAATTGCGAGCGAACCAAATAAGAAGACGCACAGTTTGCAATGGACAGCATTCAAAATACAATAGGCTTATGTGAGGACACAATATTAAAAATTAGGTGAATGCTAAAGACCTAGGCCATTTATATCATCATCATGATCCTTGCCGTAATCCCATATGAATGGGGTTGGCCACATGAATTCTCTCTTTCCAACCTTTTCTATAACATGCAATTTTAGCTAATATATTTAACTTTTTTAATTCATTTCTAAAGACCTAGGCCATATATATCAACATCAAAATAGGGCAACAAAAGAATCACGAGGTTGTGAGCATCGCTTTAAAATACATTTACATCACAAATTTTATTTTGGGAAAAAAAAAAAAAAAACAATCCACATTCTGAAGATCTAGAGCAATAGTCATAGTACACATCTTTCAACTTCTCTTTTGTTCCTTTCAAAGAAAACAAATAAGTCAAAGATAGTTTGGCAATAGTGGCATTAGGAAGATTGCTAAAAGAATGTCACTTTCAGTTAAATAATAATCAACAAAAGGCAGGTATGGACTGAAGCAGGTAGTGTCAGAGATTGATGCCCTTGTGTGTGCCTGTGTTCCTAATATCTTGATTAAAATGGGTATCTCATGGATTATTGGCCTAAAGACTGGAAATCCTAATACATGTTACCGTTCAAGTTTATGGTAGCATTATGCTTTTCGGAAAAAGAAAAAAAAAAAAAGAGTTTATGGTAGCATTATATGCCAGTACCCCATTATCTGCAATCATAATGCAGCGCCCGAGATGTGGTATACTGATGTCCAAGAACACACAGTGTTGTTTAACAACTCAATTAAGTGCCTCAAATCTAACAATTTCAGTAATTTCAATACTTAATTTTCATTTTAATGAAAAAGTACCTGAATTTAGTAACCCCAAAATTTCTCCCTATTTCTCCCCTAGTTAAAACCTGATAGGTTTTAGAGCTTGGGACAAAGGAGCAGCAGCCAATGCAAATATAAAATAGTGTCATCCCTTTCATAAGAATCATGAAGAATGTTTTCAAACTTTAGGTCTCAATGATTGCAACATAAAAGAAAACTTGTGATAGATTGAGTCCAGAGCCACCTCACTTGAAAATAAATATTCCTTCAAGGAACCAGGTTTAACTCTACAATAAAGAAACCTGACGGTGACATTCTGTCAAAGCTGTGGTCTCCAATAGCGGATAAAGTTAGATCTTCAAATTTTCTATTTAATTAAAATACAAGCTAGAACTACCTTCTAATACTCTCTTTTTAGATGATGATGCTTTACATGCACGTAATTGGCGAGAAATTGTTTCTTCTACAGCATGTAGCATTGATAAGCATTTTTCATCACCATCCCCCTTCAAAGGTAAACCATATGTCATTGTAAAAAAATCTTCTTCCTGCAAAAAATAGAAAAGGAATAAAATGCAAGTCAAACCTTCTGAGCACAAATTGATAATCGAGAAATACACATGTTGAAAACAAATAAACTCGAGGATGCGACTTGAATTTCATATCAAAACTGCCATTAACCTTTTTCAGTATCATTCCTCGCTTTACGCACAAACCCGTACAGGAGTTGTAACCAACAAACAAAAAACACATCTTTTAAGTTTTAACGATTAAAAAGCCATCCTCAATATGCATGACTCACTTTTCATATTCTTCTAAATCCACTACATTTTTTACCAAGTTTCAATGCAATGTCAGAATATACAATGTTGAGAGTTATTTTGTGAAGTACAGTACCATGCTTGCACAAGCTTACAAAATAGTCAACAGACTTCTCACAGAATATTTCAAATAACCATGATTAGGCAACACCACTTTATCCAACTCAATAAAGCTTTGTTCCTAATATAGGGGGGAAGACTTCCTAAATCATGTTTCATCATTCCACTCTATCTGGGGCAATGACTTCATTAAACCACATATTATAATTTTTTCAGTACAAATGAAATTATCTCAACTGATATTAATTTGGTCTACCCTTTTCCCTACCAATCTATTCTGTGTGGACCATGTCACAGTCCATTATCAGTGTAGCTATCAATCTTTGTTAAACAAGGACAAACCATGTTAATCAATGTTATCTCATTTATCTCCAATTGATGCAAATTCTATCATACCAGGGATCTATTCATTTACAATCTGATACTTTCTTGTCCAATCACACACCCAATACCACAATCACATTTCGACCATTCACAGTTTATAAATATATTGTTTCTTAACTAGCCACCATTAATGACTGATAAAGCCTTGCCAATGTAATATCCTTTATCGCGTCAACATATCTCCTTGTGACATTTTCATTTTCTAAAACACACCATATTAGACTTCAAAGGCCCCTGTCATAGACTTTTCCCAAATATAACAAAACCATACAAAGACCTTTTTATTTCTCCCTACACGTTTGCATTATTCTACTCATAGACTTAAATATCAGAAATAGTGGCCTTATTGGGTAGACAACAAAGTAGATCCCACATAGCATCCAAGACTCCCCCACCCCCACTGAATTCCCAGATCCACATACTCATTCACCAGCTGATCTCATTCTGAGGCCGTAATAATTTACATTGATGTCAACCCGTGCGTAGCACAGGATAGAAGAAGGGGGGAAAAAACTAATTCTTTACTGACTTTGAATTTTAAAACAATAATTCATTCTTTTACGACTATAGTCATTAGAGGAGAAGAGGCAAAAATAAGAATCTATATTTTATTCCCCTAGAACAAATAAAGGTTTAAAGAGTTGTTGGAATACTTTACTTCATGTGTACGTGCATCTGACACAACTGAAACAACAGCATTGCAGGTTGCACGTATTATTCTGCAATAAGAATGCAGTAACGCATGTGATGATGTTCTATCAGGCCTCAGAAGATAGATGCAGGAGAAAACAGTTTGCGCCAATGATTGACCTTTGTGCCATGTCGCCTGCCATGTAAGATTGTAGATCAGATAATTAAAAAAAAAAAATTAAGGTAATAACTTTTAAGTATGTAATGTACATAATACCTCACAAGCTAGAAGATAGTCCATGATGTCAATAGTACACTGAACATCGACAGTTTTATTGAAGCTTAAAGGGACTGGAGCAGCACCATTCTCAATGGCTTCATCGACAGAATAATATCGGCAAACAATACCTGAATCCATCTTTGGATCCATTATCTAATAGACACAGAAAAAAGTTGGTACAAGTTAAGGAAAGTTGTCATAAAGTACCAAATCATTATTACATCAGATATAAATAGAATAATGCAACAGTTAGCTATAATATTGTCATCTGAAAGAAAACAATACATCTCCTTAATATCAAATCACTTTCTAGTATTAAAACTGTCCTATCACTTTCTAGTATTAAAGCCTCCTATCACTTTCTAGTATTAAATTGACCCTTTATTTCCCAAAGAATTTAGAGGGGTCAACTATAAAAAAATTCATAGTTTCTCATTGATACCAATAGAACCCTCCCCCTTTTCTTGAATTATGGTGGGGTAATCGACCCCACAGACCCAAGTGGCTCCGCCCATGTGCGTCCCCAACATAACTGCTTTCTAGTAAGAAAAAGTTTCCCTCAAATCCTTCCCCACACTACTATAGGATTATGCACTACAGGTAAATTGAAGCCTTATTTTCCTACAATTTCTTATAAACCACCAAATGGTTGTAGAAAATGCAACTTCCTTTACTTTGAATTTCCTTTATTTCTAATTTTCTTTTCTCAAAATCCACCTTCCTGCGTAAATTTGTGGACATCCGAACATAAAATAAACATTGCAAATAAAAGTCATTAAATAAAATCCCAATTGCCAGTAAATATCATTAAATGAAATCCGCCGCAATGAATATAATGAGATGATGATAATAATAATGATAATAAACAATACAACTTCAAATGCCAGTCTAAGTTTTTTTTTTTTTTTTTTGAAAGGTAAATGCCAGTCTAAGTTGTTCTACACGATTTTTACAGGAAAAAAGAAAGTAGATAATCTGTTGCATGTGCAGTATTATACATGATTTCTGCTATTACATGCTCACACTTTATAATCTTGTCATTTTTTAAAGGAACAAAAATAAAACAAGGAGATGAATTAACGCATTAATTATAACCCAATTTCTCCAAAATAATCCCCTATGCTCCTATAAACTGTCAATTCACATTTGCATTTCTTCCAGCTGAACCATGAGAAATGGGTGGCAAAGCATTCAATATGATGTTATTCAGGTCAGTTTCTCTTTCTTCTTAGTTCTACTTCCAAAACAGGTTCTGTTCTTTGAACAACATGCCCACTTGTCATGCAGAACTTTTTGCTTCCCCTCAAGGCTCTTCTTGTTCAGAACAATATAGTTTCATCCAAAAACTGTGTTCTCCACCTCCACTTGGGCTAGAGAAGCCTTATACAAGGATTTAACATATCCAATACCTCTTTTTGCACTACAATTCTTATATAGCATAACAACACTACTACGATTTTGATTCTCATTATCAATCCATTTGCCAGTGCTTATTCTTTAATATATATCCAAGGGATTCACATACTGAACCTCATGGAAAATTTATATATGCCTGTGTATCCTTTGTCACTATTGAGTTGCACGGTTATGTGTAGAACATGGTTATTAAGTTGTAGATGAAACATTGTGAGAGAACTACCAATATATATATGTGTGTGTGTGTGTGTGTGTGTGTATTCAATGAAGATGCATCATTACCTCCAGAGCGGACATGGCAGCAAAAAGATTAAAATTCTCTCCATGAATGAGCTCACCATCTCGAAGATCTGTGACCAATTAATACAAAAAGAAATTTAAAAAAAGTTGAACAAAACAGATATCGGGTTGCACATATCATGCACTCATTCTTGTAAGCTTTTTTCTGGAACTGATAATATAAATTGAATTTGCCTTTCTTTCTTTGTTTTTGACAGATAAAAATATAATTCAGTAAATGCACCAAAAACAAGGGCACAAAACAAACGAGTTTTAACCTCAAGTACTTATATTGTCCCTCATCTGCTCAGCAAAAATGATATCCACAAACAACAAATGCAAAATAGACATAAAAACTTGCAAGATGCAGACCAAAATACCCCTAATCGCTGCCCCTCCATAGCCCTCCTCAGCATCCCACTCTGTGGTTTCCGTCATATACAACAAGAAGTCCCACTGGACAAGATCATAGGCTTTTTCAGTATTCATTTTACACATTAATCCAAGCTCCTCACTCCTGACCCTAGAGCGTACACATTATTTTACAACAAAAATGCATGAAGATTTTGACTTCCCTTGACAAACAAATTTTACATATCGAGAATGATGGCCCTTCATCACCCGTCTTAATTTCCAAAACAAGAACTTTAACCAACAACTTGTAAACCCTCCCAAACTTTTTATCTCCACAACTCTCAGGTACAAGCTTCGCTGCTATGACCTCCTCTCCAGCAATTCTAACCCCCCAGGGCCCCGCCCAAAAAAAAGAAAGAAATCCTAGCTATTTCTTTCCATCACCATTGAAGACACGACTTGGGGTTTCACCATAACAAACCTTCACATAGGAGACCTGCCTTTCATCTCCCAGTACCAAACCACTTTCAGACAGTAGCCACTGCAGGAGAAAGACCTCACAGAAACCTTATCATCACCCACTTTTGAAGCTTTAACTAGGGACTCCACAAAGCCATTTGAGAATTGAGACTGAATCGATTAATCTTTCTTTTTCTTTTTCTTTTTTTTCCTAAATGAATCGATTAACCTTCACCACGTGAACCAGTTCAATGTCTTATTCCACAAGTTAAAATAGGAAAGATTCAAATGTTTTAATGTCTTTCAGTTCTTGAAGATTATACTCCTCACCTGGAAAGGTAACACAGATGGGGTAGTTGGTAAGAAATATGAAATTTTAATCCAATACGCCTTACTCAAACCTTGTGTCCATAAGTTTTTTAACAATAAAGAAGGCAAAAAAGAGAATTATACCCTTCATTATAGTATGAATCAATATAATCATATAAAGATATTTGTCATATGAGAAATAAAATAACTATGATAATCCAGTTTACAATATTAATCCATGTGTTGTCATGTAGAAAATTATATAAGAATGACAGTCCACAATGAAAACGTCAGAAAAACAAAAAGGAACACCAAAAACACACACACACGAAACACACGCATTAAGCACTCGACTATCCAGCCCGCACATTCCTCCGGTCCTCCCTACCCGGCCACCCCCGCACCACAAAAAGGAACAAACATGCTTACACAAGGAAAAAAAAAAAAAAAATCCAATTGCAAAGATGAGTGATATCTTTTTGAGAAATTCATTTCCAGAAAATTAGACAAGCACAGAGAGAGTGATTTCCAAAGTTGGATCTTTTTCTGAAACTGCCGCAATTCGAAGTCAAAATAATCTAAAACATATTTACATCGCAATTGAAGAAATTAGATTGTACAAAGCAAATAGCTTTGGCAACAACGAATTAATCAAGGTTGCGTCTAAACTACTAATTTAGTTAATCGAGCAACATTCAATAACCAATTATGATTCTACTAAATACACTTATTCCAAAAAGTACTATCAATCTGAAGTAACTCAAATTCACGACAATCAATCAACACATAACGCAAACAAAACACAAAGACTTGCACTTTCTTTGGTCGTTAATTAAGTGAAATAGTTTGCATTAGGTTTAGATGAGTAAAGGCTATTCCTTTTCCTGTATTCCTAGGAATCAGAAACTGTATATTGTTTTTTATTGTATTGCCCTACACTTTCTCAGGAAACAAACAAATTCGAGTAGGAAAAAAAAAAACCTGTGCAGGCGGCTTGGAGTAGGGACGAAACATCGGCCCAAACAGTCTGTTCGCCTGAAGGAATGGATGGATTTATGGGTACAGGTACGTCTCTGCTTCCTCCAACTCTGCTTTGCTCAGCCATTTGTTGAACGTTGAGACCACTTCTCTCTCTACTCTCTCTGCTCTCTCCCTCTCTGCACTAAGAGGTACGGGTACTTGGTGGGTTCGGAGTCTCGAGTCTTGTTTGTCTTCAAGAGAGTTGAAGACTCAATTACTTGGTGGTGGTTGTATGGGTTTAGAAAGAGACGGGGTCTAAACGAGGGTTTGAGGAATTTCTGAAGTGGATCTGATACCATTTATGCAATTTCTATTTCTTTGCCATATTAGGAACCTTTAAAATCTAGTATTTTTTTATTTATTACTCCGTATTATTTCTTCTTTTATTTTGTATTATATGTAATTATATATATATATATATTTATATTTTCAAGAAGCCAAGAATCTCATTTATAAGATTTATCTAAAGTACAGGGAAGAGCAACCGTGTTACAAATCAAGTGTAACCTAAATCACACAATTTTTCTCAACAGGTGCTATTCTCACGTCTGAGCGTGCTCCTGCTCTCACGTTTCGCGCACTCTAACTCAAATTCTCACTATTTATTATATTATTTTGCTGCTCTCACACTCCCGCTCTCAAACTCTCTCACTCTTATTTCCGCTTTATGTGAGTTATGGTGTAACATAATCTTGAATTTGCAGATGTCTCGATAGCCAGTGGTTAGTGCCTCCGGTGGATTTTGGTAGTGCCCGGTTTCGACTTTTTGCATCTACTACTCTAATTTTTAACTCTTCATGCCTTGTAAAAAAAATAAATAAAACTTGAATTTATAATAAAATTTCAAAAATTAATAACTTTCTTTTTTTTTTTATAAGTCCAAAATTAATAACTTTTTCTGTTTACTTCTAAAGTCCGAACCTATTAAATGGTGAGTGACATCATTAGCTTATTAGGTCACAAAGCCAACTAAAAAGTTTGAACGTTCTTCAATCAATTTGTGAATGTCATCAATGATAGAATCCATCACTGTAAAAGTTAGACAATGATCATTCACAGTTTTGGTAGTAACCTCATCATCAAACTCATTAAACGAGATAATTTTATTATTACAGTTTGCTCTCATAAAAAACATAATAAAATGGACAAAGTATGAAAAAGTTAATTTGTTTTTATTAATAAATAATTAATTCCATACTTTAGAAGTAACATGAAATTTAGGAGGATACTGTTATTGTTTAATGAGCCCATTTCAAGCCTAAAATGAATTAGTCATACTGCTATTGAAGACCACTCAATGCAAACTCGCCTTCACGTGCATGTGAAATTTTGTAGAAGAAAAATGAAAATGAATGATGAAATCAAGAGAGGTCTATATGAAATACTGACAAATATTAAAGGAGATAGGTGAAATTTATTCAATAATTAGTGGAAAAAAAGTTTTTGTGATGCATAATATCTCAAATATTGAATCCCAAAAAAAAAAAAAAAAAAAAAAAAAAAAAAAAAAAAAAAACTTAGGAGTCTAGTTGATATAATTTAGGAATTTAGTTTATGTAGAATGTTAGAGGAATTATAATATAACTATTCGACCCGATTTGGATCCAATAGAAGTTCAACATTCATTAAGCACATATTAACCTTCAACCTTCTTCTTAAAGAAATGGATTGCCTTCATTAAGCACAAATTAACCTTCAACCTTCTATGATTAAGCACATATTAACCTTCAACATTCATTAAGCACATATTAACCTTCAACCTTCTATAATTAAGCACATATTAACCTTCAACATTCATTAAGCACATATTAATTACCTTCGATCTTCTATATATATATATATATATAATCCTTTTTTGTGTGTAAAATGCTCTATATACTACTATAAGATGTTTTACATTTTACCCCAAAAATAAAAAAATAAAAAAAAATAAAAAATACGGGGTTGGTGTTGGGTTGGACTGCCCAACTTGCAGAAAGTTGCACGGTATTAGTACTGATCTTTATTTGGAGGGCCTATTGGGCTGCCAGATATATTAGCAAGAGTGGGCTAATTGATTTTGCTGGCCTGTTAAGTGACACGTTTTGAATTCAAATAGTTTAATAAATGAGACAACTAAAACCAATTAATTTATAAAATTGAGTTAAAAAGCATGGGAAATTTAAACAATATATTGCAAAGTATGACTTTTATTTTCAATCATTGAAGAACATTATAAAAATATATTCAAAATTGTATCTTTTATAATGATGTTAATTTCAATCTCCAATCTCCATGGAGTCAAAATCCAAAGTCCTCATTTTTTCATATAATAATAAATCAACAATGTATCTTTTGTACTTATTTATATTTTTGGAGTCTTGCAAAGAAGGAGCTCAACCAATGGAGAGGGGTCTATTCAATTAATTAATCGCCTCCAATGATGGTAAAGAGCATTAAATAATCTCATTCCATATAACATTGTAGAATTATTAATAGAACCATATATATTTTAGATGCAACCAATAACAATTCTTCATGAAATCCTTTTTTTTTTTTTTTTTTCCTCCAAAATATTTAGTTTGTAATACACATTTCATGCAACCCAGAGTAACCAAATACTAATAGTTGGAAAATTGAAATTTTATGTATATATATTTTAAAAAATAATTAAAATAGTTAAATTACACCCCTTAATCTCATCACCCTAGTCTCTTGCAATTTGGTCATCACTTTAAAAGTGGAAGTAGTAGGTAGTCCTTAGGAAGTTGGGAGTGGGTCCTGGAAAGGTCAGGAGTCATCACTTTCATTTTCATATCGCACCACGTGATTCAAATCGGTTAGAATTGACAACTAATTTTAAAATTTTAAATAATGATAATAAGTTACATCGTAGTTCCAAAAAAAACTTCACCACCTTCCTATATACAAGGCGGATCTAGGGGTAAATTTTGGTGATTTTGAACCCACCAAAAAAAAATCTTATTAATATATAAAAATTTTGTCGAGTAAAAAAAATATAAAAAATTTATTAAAAGTATTAGTCCATTCAAATATAAGTTTAAATGGTTATTTTATAACTTAAATAGAAGTTTATTTATGATACGTATAATTAAACATTTATAACCCAAATTCGTTTAACATTAACTCAAATTCACTTATAAATCATGTCGTGTTCGAGTAATTACGAGCCAACACACAAATAAAAAAGTTAAACAAATTGATGTATTTGCATATTTGTGTATAATAATTGGTTTGGCACAATGTTCCCGAACTAGTGTAATACTTTATCACTTTTTACTATTTTTTTTTTTTTATATTTTTAAATATTGATCTCGGGACCATTGGTCTCAAGCAATCACCATAGGATATTTGAGCAAAAAGTTTTTTTTTTTGATAATTTCACTAACACCCCCTGAAGTTTGGCCAAATATCAATCTAAAATATCTTTCGAAAATAACTATCACTTAGGTTCATTTTCGCTTTTTCGTTACTGCCTCCGTTAAAAAAATGGAAAAAGACATGTTTGCCCTAATTTTTTAATCACATTTATCTCAAAATATTAGATAATGTAAATGACTTCTATACCCCTACACACACTATTTCTCTCTCCTATATCTCTGGGACGACGCTTCTGTAAGAAAAATGTTGGAGAGGATTGGCGACGGCCAATCGACGGCGATGAGAAATATTGGCGACGTAGGCTGACCACTGGTCAACAGCGATGGCTTGATTTGCATCGGCAATGGCTTCAAGTCTCCGGTGTTTATGGAGTTTAGCGGCATGGTGGTATGAGGGAGGAAAGGACACAATGTATATATATATATATATAGTGGCGGAGCCAGCATAGGGCCCCGGGCCCATGCTGGCCCATTAATTTTAATTACAAAATGGCCTATAATTTTTAAAAGTTTTCAAAATGCCCCCCTGAAATAATTTATTTTAAGAAAATGGCCATTAATTTTTATTACACATAGGCCAATAATTTATAAAAAATTAAAAAATGCCCCCTAAAATAATTATTTACCCTTAGGCCAATTAATTTTTATTGCAAATAGGCCTATAATTTATAAAATTTTACAAAAATGCCCACTAAAATAATTATTTTTAAAAAATATCTTTAATTTTTCATTTCTTTTCATTCTTACTCCTCCTCTTCTTCTTCTCTATATTCTCTTTTAAAAAAAAGTTGCATTCCTTTATTCAAACTATTTTTTTTTTTTTTTCTCTTCAAAGTTTGGTAATTAAATTTGTTGCCTTAAGGTCGGTATTTTTATGTCCCTATTTTTTTTAAATAATTATTTTTTAAATTATTAAATGCTATTATTCCATCATTAGTACAGTGTTATTTTTTGATTTATTGTCTTGCATTACTTTTTGCTTGAAAAAAATATTTCATCTTTGATATGACGCCCCTCTTGAAACAAATTCCTGGCTCCGCCCTGTATATATATAAGAAGTAATAAAGCTATACAAAGAGTAATTTAATTTGTAGAGTTCCAGTAATTCTTGATCCACGCGATCGTTGTTGAAATTATGGCAATCGTCGCCCACTTGTTCCCCGAACCTGGCCTGCGGACTCATAATGCTTCACCTCCGGCGAGAGTTAATTACACCTCCGAAGACTATATGAATTTTTGTATTATTATTATATTTTTTTTTTTGGTAATTAATCAATTTTGGGGAAACCAAACCCATTAATTGTTTCTTTCAATTTATCAATCAGGGTATTTACAGATTGATTTGGGAATTCTAGTATTGGAGTTTATGGTTTATGGCACCAATTAGTTATGTATAGAAAGTCTATATGTTGTTGTGTATGATAGAGAGAGAAAGAGACAAAGATGAATTAGATAGATTGAGAAAAAAAAACTAATATAAATCAAATATAAATATAAAATGTCACAAATAGACTTCAGTTCACATGCTAAATAATAAAAAACAGGGCTTTTGTTCTCCAAAAAATACGAGGACAGGCCTATATATATATATATATATATTTGAAATGATGGAATATATGAATGAGTGATTGATCATAGAACCGGACACTTGTAAATTTTTTCTTATTTTTTTCTTTCTCTTTTTAAATTTCGTTAATTTTTTAAAAAAAATAAAAGTTTCTTACTTAAAATTTCATTAATTTCCTTAAAAAAAATATATGAATGGGTGATTTTTCTTATTTTAGTTTTTAAAAATTTTCTTATTTTTCTCTTTCTCTTTTTAAATTTTATTAATTTCCTTACAAAAATAAAATTTTCTTACTTAAAATTTCATTAATTTCCTTAAAAAAATATATGAATGGGTGATTTTTCTAT